AAGAAAAGGCAATGATGTAGTTGTATTAATCATTGAATAAGTTACTCACCCGCGTCCCCGGCGAGGAAGACTCAGCTCCTTCTGAAATGAGACAAAGAAAGTGGGGTTAGCCCAGGAAGTCTCCACCCACTGCACACCAACACCAGTCTCCCGAAACCCAAACACACCACCTGCCTCGTCTCCCTGCCTTAGGGTCCTCACACCAATGGTGGTCTGCCACGCATTGTCCACAGCTTAGTCCTTACTCCTATCTGAGTATCCCTCATGGAACATAAATGAAGCCAGCAAAATGACTCAGCTGTAAAGGCACTTTCTGCCAAACCTGACCACCTGAGTTCAATCCCTAGGACCCACCCAATGGAAGGAGAGAACTGAGTCCCAATTTCCTCAGATCTCCTGAGGTGTTTGTACACACACACACACACAGAGGCACACACGCACACGCACGCATGCGTGCACACACAAACACACATACGCAAACTCACACACACACAAACACACACAAACAGACATAAACACATATACACACACGTGCGCACATGCCCACAATAAATTAATAAATGTAATAAAAGTAATGAAAGGAGCAGGGAGGTAGGAGGCAGAGGCAGGTGGATCTCTGTGAGTTCAAGGCCAGACTGGTCTACAGAGCGAGTGCCAGGAGAGCCAGAGCTACACAGAGAAACCCTGTCTAAAAAAACAAACAAATTGGTCTGCACCGACTCTGGCTGCCTCTACTACATACAAGGCAGAAGAGAAACCTGGTCTTGGGGTCCACTGGGACCAGAGTCCCTCCTGAGCACACACACACGGGAAATCTGTGTTTTTCTCTGTGTGTGTTTCTGTCATGGCACATGTGTGACAACTTTCGAGAATGTATTTTCCTTTTTCAGTGTGGGTCCCTGGGGAAGGAGACAGCCTGCCAGGAGGCTTGATTGACTGGGTCATGCTGACTCTGGCTTTGTTTTTGAGACAGACTGTATGTAGCCCAGGGTGGGTTGGAACTCGTGGTGATTCTCCTGCCTCAGATTCTCCACTGTTGAGAAGACAGGGTCTGCCACCAACTGCACATCAGGGAGGTTTTTCCTCTTTAATTTTGAGAGAGCTGTTGGAATCTCATAATTCCCAGACCTCCGTGAAGGGCTTGCTACTGCTTTAGAGATAACGGGACCTTACTGTAGGCTGCCCTGGCTCCTGTTACTGTTTAAACCAGCACTGGCCAAAGAAGAAACTGCCCATATTGTGTCTCATTTGCCGAGCATCTACTGTACAGGTTGGGAAACTGAGGCAGAGACCGAGTGGGAGACCTGGGAAATGGACTTTCCAGACGCCCCCAGTCTAACAGACAAATGCATTGGGGCGGCCACTTTGGGGACGTGAACTATTTTTACAGTGGTGGGCTCCAAGCTACCCACACCCCAAGTTTTCCATGGCAACCAAAGGCGTCATCCACAGCCAATTGGAGGGGGGCGGAAACTGCCAGGCGCTGGACCTCTGGGAGGCCTGGGGTTGGCCAGAGGAGGGGAAGGGAAGGGCCCCTATTGTGCTCGCATCTCTTGTGTGTCTGTCTCCTCTCTCATCGTCTAGCTCCCCCACTAGCAAGCCAGAAACAGAATTTAAACTCGGAGGTTCAGCCTGGTGCTGGGGATGCTGCTGTGTGGTGTCCGTCAACAGCCCAACCTCTCTGTGCCCCAGTTAACTCATTTAGAAAACAAACAGCAGGTCCCACATCAGCGACGATGAGAAGTTTAAACGCATCCCCACGATACAAAAGGACTCCAGGCGGGGCTGGGGTGCTGCCAGGCCCCGGAAAGCTCCCCGGAAGTGGGCCCACGGCATCCCGCTCCATCTGCTTCCCGCGGCCCCCTCGCCAGCTGCTCCCGCGCAGCAGCTCCCACACGGACGCCCCGCTACTGGCTGGTGTTTATTTGTCTTGAGGCCTCTCTCTGCAGCGCAGGCTGGTGGCCTGGAACTCGACATCCTCCTGCCTCAGCCTCCAGAGTGCTGGGGTCACGGGCAGATGTCACTTTCTTTGGCCCTCTGTGACCGCTGTTTTTGTTGTTGTAGCCCTGGCTGGCCTCGAACTCCTGATCCTCCTGTCTCATCCCCTCCTGAATGCTAGGATAGTGTACGCTACACTTGGTTTAAGCCGTGCTTGGGATGCAGTCCAAGGGCTTCATGCACGGTAGGCAAGCACTCCACCCACTGAGCCACCACACTCCACCCACTGAGCCACCACACTCCACCCACTGAACTACAAGCACTCTATGGGTCTGCCCTTTAAATACTGTGTTGAGAGGTTCCTACTACAAGCACTCTATGGGTCTGCCCTTTAAATACTGTGTTGAGAGGTTCCTCGTGGATTGGAGTGCTGTCCAGTTTGGAGGAACCAGAGCTGGTCGTGAAGCACAGGAGCCAGGGTCAGTAGTCTGCACGGAACTCAGAGTTGCCCATTTTATATCTGGGAAAGGCCAGGGCTTGGGGCCCACTGGGACCCCAGAGTCTACCCTCAGAAGTTTCTTGTCTGATAGGGATTTGGCTCTGTAGTCCCCGCAGGCCTTAAAACTATCCTCCTGCTATCCTCCTGCCTCAGCTTCCCAATTCCTGGGATGATAGGCATACACCGTCACCATTAGCAAAGATTCACTTCAAGGCTAAGTAGGCCTGGTTGGGGGAAGCAGTTACCCCCATATTGGCTATCCCGTGGCACTGGAGAGCGAGAGCATTGCCTGTCTTCTAGTTACCCCAGAGGCTGCAGGGGGGCAGCCTGGCCTACACTGTGAGCAGTAGCGACCAGAGCACACAGCCTGGGCTCTTTCCCCAGTGTCATCAACCAGGCCTTTTTGTATGCACTTGGGTGATGGAGACTGAAGGATTAGGAGTTCAGGGCCAGCCTTGGCTTCCTCCAGAACTTATGAATGGACCCTTTGAGCCCCCCAGCAGGGTTCAGCCTCCGAGCATTCTGATTGGCTATCATGGATGCCTGCCCTCTGATTGGCTGAGGCTCTAGACAGTTCAGGCATGAATTTCGGATTACAGATGTGTACCTCCGCGTCAACTTACTTTCTTGCTCACAGATGTCAATTTACAGAGGGCGCCACCTTGCAGCTCAGGCTAACCCAGAGCTGATCCTGTAGCCCAGCGTGGAGTTCTAGAATAGGGTTGTTATTATATCCTAGTCTGGCTTTCATTCCAGTGTCCTTTAAGCCCTCTTGTCTCCTGTTAGCGGGCAGTCCCGTGCTCCGGCACCTTCCACAGCTCCCCACTGCCCTGGCACCCAAATTTAGCTTGTTTGTTCGTTTATTTACTCTCTCTCTCTCTCTCTCTCTCTCTCTCTCTCTCTCTCT